TCAAGTGTAATAATGCTTACCTATGAAATAAAGATTATTTTGAATTTTGAATTTTAACGGCCCAAAGTCAAAAGGCTTTGGAGTTTATACCACTAGATGGAGTTGTACGTAGTCCAGTGTTTACAGTATTGTTATAGTTCCACAGCGACTAGATAGATGGAGTTATAGGTATTTGTCATACATATATAGATTTCAATTGTTAAACGCTATTAACTAAAACTGCGTAGTTAATAATAATAATTCTTTATTTCGGACCATAAAATATCCATAGGATGTTAGTAAAAGAACTTAATTCAAGGTTAGTAATAATCATTGCAACTTAATTATATTTCGAACTGGGCTACGTCCTTAACTTGCACTATCCAATGTTTCAAGATAAGACGATCGTACCTTCCCGCTATAGCGTTTAGAATGCTGTTAGTACTGAGCCTCACGCGACTCATCAGCGAGACAATCTTTTTGCACATGATGGCCTGGAAGCTGTCCGCGTGAGCCACCGCCAACATACCCGATGCACTACACCACGTTGGCAGTCCCATCAGCATTCTAAATGCATTATTATATAGCACGCGCAGGGCGTTAAAGGCTCGTCTTGTATACCTAACCCACAAGCTGCTCGAGTAAAAAGATTGACTATAAGCTTTAAAAAGCGTTATTTTAACTTCGTACGAGCATCGAGCAAACCTGCGGGCAAGCATATCACTCCTAACCGCCAACGCCCTGCGCTCCCTTCAAAATCCAGATCATCGTTTAGATCACTTGTTAAAATATGACCAAGATACTTTACTTTATCTGTGACCATCAACGGAACTCTATTCAACATAATAGGAGGAACATAATACGGTTTAATTTTACCTGCCTTAAACACCATGACCTCGCTTTTCTTCGGGTTGTATTCTAATCCATGTGCCATGGCATACTCCTCACAAGTCTCAAGCATCTGCATCAACGCACTGACCGACAGGCTAAGCAGCACCATGTCATCAGCATAGCTTAAGTTATTTATACAAGTGCTTCCCACGTAACATCCTGCATGCATGCTGCTGAGCCGGCCTATCAGCTCGTTAACGTACAGGTTAAATAGCTTCGGTGAAGTGATCCCCCCTGCCTTACTCCACACTCCAGTTGGTACTGAGCAGATAACAAATTATCCCACCTAACCTGATTTTTCTGATTGCTGTACCAGTGCCTAAATAATGCCACACATTCTCCCAGTATGCCTGAATCACTTAATTTTTGCCATAGCAGATCATAGTTGACTCGATCAAATGCTTTTGACAAGTCGAGAAAACAAGCATACACTGGGGTTTTCCTATCTGTATAATACCTGACCGTATGCTTCAGACACAGAATCGCACTATCTGTGGATAGCCCCACTCTGAAGCCAAAGTGGGCGTCATGAAACTTTAAGTGCCGTTCCAGTATAGTGTCCAGCATACGGTCAAGTATCTTAGCGGTAGTGATGGCAAGCGAAATAGGCCGATAATTCGTACTGTTAGATAGGTCACCTGTTTTATTCTTAACAACCGGTACAACAAACGTCCTCATGAGTGCCTCTGGAAGGTACGAGTGGCCCAAACAAAAGCTTAATAGCATAGAGAGAACACGTGGTAGATGTAACCCCGCATACTTAAAGTGCTCAACGCTAAGACCATCGAGACCAAGCGACTTCCGCATATTATTAATTACCGTCTTAATCCTTTTAGAGGTAAAATGGATAATACGCCTGCCCCCAACGGTCCCTGCACCGAGCCCTACCCCACGAGAAGTTTGTACATCCAACCGCGATTTAACAGTGAAATGTTCTCTAAAGGTCTCTGCAAATTCACCACAATTTCACCACAGTCAGACTTGTCCCCCACACTCACAGGCAGGCCAGGCTTTACATTCATTTGTTTAGTTTTATTCCAAAAGTCGCCAAATTTTTCAGTTCTATGAGTCAGAGCTAGCTTGTCCATTTTAAATTGATCCTGCCTGTTCTGACACCACTTGAATTTTGACTTGAAGACCTTTTTTGTATGACGCATTTGTTGAAAAATCTGACCATACGGAGGTTTTCCTGCAAGCTCCCAAAGTTGAAACTGTATCCTGGCCTCTCTGTGAGCTTCAGCAACATATGTATTCCACCCTGCTATACAGCAACCCCTTCCATGCCTGCTACATTTAGATGTCAAGATAGAAGCATTAGAAAGGGTGGTAATAATTTTACTATACAAGCTATCAATAATTTTGAAGTGGTCGCAATTGTCACACATACCGTCACAGCAGTCTCTAAGAGTAACCGGAAAGTCAACGTCTTTCAGCTTACTGTTACATATCCTATTATATTCATTGATTTGATCGATGTGTATGTCCCCCCCATACTATTTTATTATTTAAATAATTGTTACAAATATTCTTTACAGGTTTCAATAAATTAATATCACATTCTATAAGCATAGGAAAATGATCGGACCAAAACACATCTTACATAACCGTAAGGTCGCATATTGTATTTCACGCACAATTCGTTACAATGCAGTGATCCAATCATCTCCTACACCCATATACATCACTGATATATGTGTAGGTATCAGAGCCTGAACCAATTTTGTCTACGTCTGCACATATCCACTGTTGTTCTGTACAAAAATTTTATTTTATTTATTTATTTCTATATATATAATCTATCAACTCACGGTGAAATGGCTCATTAACATGAGCATTAAAGTCCTCTAGTATATATACTGCTTGTACATCACTATTGTCTGCTACAACCAAAGATAACACACTTAAGCACTCCGTAAACATTGTTATATTATCGTATGAATCCGTAGGCTATAGACGGACCCCCCAAAAGCGATTTTTCATCAGTTATTATTTTAATTACCGCAATTCTATCGCTATTACATTCTATTATTGTAACTGCCTGGAACGCAGTTTTTTTCCACAGGATACCCACACCAACGTGAAGTCTTCCCTTAAGTAGCCCTTCAGGCACGTTTACCGCTGACTTACCAGTCCAACCAAATTCCCTATCAATTGTACTCAGAAGAGGTAAGTCAGAAGGTAGGAGCCACGTCTCCTTCAGAGCTACTATATCCGCACTTTTGCGAAGTAATCTAATTCCGTTTATCGACCGTTTTAGGGACCTACAATTAAACGTTAACTTTTTACACATATCAGTCATTATTTTACATTATTAATATTAACTATACTTAATTTATTATCACTAATTTTGTCAGTTCCGTCCGATTTGCCTTTAAACACAACAAAACGTCTATACCACTGGGCCATAAGTTATCATTAAGGAAAGCTCTTAGGTTCGATTTATTCACGAAAACTTTATACGAGTGATAACCTTTATCCCTTTTCATGTCAACCTTCGATAAATATCCTCGTTCTTGAGTTTTTTTCAAATATGTATTCAGCAATGTCATTCTCAGAAACCGATTTATTCAAGTTTGACACAAACAGCGGTACTTTTACATTGGCCGCTTTAAACTTTATATTCAAGGTCGTAGTAGCATTCCCCGTTTTAACAATAAATTTATTTCGATGACGCCAATATTGGACCAATTTCCACTCTTCATCATGTTTTTTATCTTCCTGAGGTATACATTCAGCATACGACTTTTTAGATTGGCCGTCCTTGATGACAATCGATCTATATTTTAAGTTGAGATTTAAGAAGAGTAACACAAATAATATTTGCAGTATTTATTACTGAATGCCATGATGTTTTTTAATACCCATACCATATACCAGTAATTTTCAGGTAAGTTTTTGTACTCAATTTTGGTGACAATTTTTATTACTTAATTACTCGAATATATCATCATGAAATATTAAAAAATATTTCATGTTACCGCACTCGAATATTTAATAATACTTCGTGATGATATTCTATAAATATTTAAAGAAACAGAAATTGTCACCAAAATTGAGTACAAAAAACTTACCTGAAAATTACCCATACCATAGTAGCAGTAGAGCTCCTTGTGAAAGAGTTCGTCCAGGGAAGTAATGCCACCTCACCTATTTCTGCTGCCAGGCAGTAATGTCAGCATTACTGTGTTCCGGTTGCGAAGGGTAAAGGTGCTGGTGAAATTACAGGCATATGGAACTTGTCAACTTATGTCTAAGGGTGACGGGCGCAGTGGCAGTGCCTCTCAGATCTATGCGATTTAAAGCTCTGAGTGGCACTTCAACTGCCATGGACAGGTATGTAGCCTACTATCAGACGACTGATTCGTTCCGTCACTTGATATTATAAAAGAAATCCATGATATTCATAATTAATTTCCGAAAATAAAATAAACACGTCTCCCACAGATCCCAGGTTCGACTCCCGGGCCGGGAAATATATTTGTATGGCCCACATTGTATTTCTCTCGTGAGTTTGGGTGTAATTTGCGGTTGTCTATGTGTGTGTCTATGGCACCCGCGATACAAGGTTTCCCTAGTGCGAGGGCTATGAGTGTACGCGTTGTTAATATGCGTTATTATTATTCCATTATTTCTCCCGATGTATTTATGGCTTGCCGCTTCATGATGGCTATGACGTCAACCATTCATTCTTCTACCTAATTTTTAACCAATTTCTAAAAGGAGGTCCTCCATTCTACTGCTTTTTTTTTTATTTCTTACTTAATGTATTATTACACAACAACTCCGGCTTTTGTGAATCGATTTTGATGATTCTTTTTGTTGGAAAGAGAATACTTCAGTGGTAGTTCCACGTACATTTGAAAATATATTCCCCCCTTAAGGGTGGCAAACTAGGGGATGAATCAGATTTCGCGCACCTTCCGGTAACCGGTTTCAATAAAACTTGGCAAATCGAACCACTCCACGAACTTTTGAGGTTGGTTTTTTAGTACTTTGTACTGAGATTATTAAGTTCTAACTTATTCTTGATTCTTATAAAGAATATTGCAAAATGTGCTACTCACATTTTGACTAAAAGTGTGTCTATTTTTATCGGATGATGGATCCACCTACTCATCATTGTTAAGTGCTTTGGAATGTACAAAGGTGTACTTTGACAACAAAGCAGGCAACTAAATTCATCTTTAAAGTATAACAAAACACGATACTATGATTTACCTTTATGATTTACTTACTAATGGGTAGTATAGCACGCTCACACTTAAAACTTTCGAAGAACTATGCTATTATTTTCACTATACATCATTATACAGACTGCTTTTTAATTCTGCAAATTTGAACTTTGTGTAAATGGCGTAATGTACTATTTGCAGTGAAGTATTATTAACATTATTATAAAGAAATTATTGGACATGATAGGGAGCAACGTGTAACGTGTGGTAGGTTTTTTTAAACGATTACATGTGGGTACCTGGAAATTTTGTGCAGATGCTTTATTGTGATAAAGGCAAACTAATCACGTTATCTACCGACGAAGACCGATGTTTCAGCAGAGTCATAATATTTCGCATGTACGCGGAGATCTACTCCACGTTTAGGTTATCTTTTGTTTTTCTACATATAAGAATAACCTCAATCTCACCTGATGAAAAGTGACAATGAGATTGACGATGCGCGTCTGAAATAATGCCTATTCACTCTTGCCTTGAAAAGTCACAAGTTATAGCGTTCAGGGAATAAGTTTGCAGGCAGGGAATTCCACTACATACCTATAGCTGTTCGCCATATACATATCGACTCATCCATAGAACAAAGATCTATGTGCAAGACTATTTGTTCTCAGGACATAGTACATTACGTTCGTTCTTCTTCGCTGTGGATGTCAGATCGACTGTTGTTTGATTTTATATTTCCGAAACGAAATAAGGTATATAAATTCTCAAAACACCCTTACATGGGCCTTAGTTTGAATAATGAAATTATTCTCGTAATGTACACACGCCAGCACATCAAGCTACACATTGACGTATCTTGTTCCGTTGCACTGGAGGCGATTTTAGAACAAAAATGTGTAGTCTAATGTGCCGTTGTCAGTACCTGTTCTCTTTTCGCTTTATGTAATCACAACGGACTCTGTTCTTCGGTTAAGTCGATATAGCCAGGGCTGGT